GAGGTAGGAAGCCTGCTTGTCTGAGCGGACACGTGTGGCGGGGGCACAGAGCGGGGGGGCTGCACCGTTTGGTCCAAACACAGACGGGAGTCCTCCCACCAGGCCCTGTCTGGATGCTGGGGGAGGCTGTGGTCTTCCCGGCCCCAGAGACCCAGACAAGTCCCTTTCTGCCTCTGGCCTCTGTTTCCCCAGAGCCCTCCAGCTCTGTGGTCCCTCACGGCTGGGAGGGAGGGAGGCCGAACACACCAGGAAGGTCAGAGCTCAGCCCCCACGTGAGGAAGGTGCCCCACCTTCGCTCCTGCCTCCACAAGCCACTCTCGCACCTGCCCCCAGGCTTTTGCCCATGCTGGTCCCCTGGCCAGGAGCCCCGTCTGTCTGCACCCACTCATTTCAGTCGAGTGGCTTCCTCTCTGACCCACCCCCCCCCCCCCCCACCGACCATCTCCTCCATCAGAGGCTCTCACAGCCTGGGTGGCACGGTCGGTGAAATATCCGACCCTTGATCTCGGCTCAGGTCCCCATCTCATGGTTCGGTGAGTTCGAGCCCTGCATCAGGCTCCGTGCTGATAGCGTGGAGCCTGCTTGGGATTCTGTCTCTCCTTCTCTCCGGCCCTCCCCAGCTTGTGCGCTCTCTCTCAAAATAAATAAATAAACTTTAAAATAAATTTTAAAAATTTAAAAAATTCAACAACAACACTCCCTGGGGCGCCTGGGTGGCTCAGTCGATTGGGCGGCTGACTTCGGCTCAGGTCACAATCTCCCGGCTCGTGGGTTCGAGCCCCGCATCGGGCTCTGTACTGACAGCTCAGAGCCTGGAGCCTGCTTCGGATTCTGCGTCTCCCTCTCTCTCTGCCCCTCCCCCTGCTCATGTTCTGTCTCTCTCTGTCTCTCAAAAAAAAAAAAAAAAAAATTAAAAACACTACTCCCTGAGGGCTGGGCACAAGTGCTCCCCAGTGCTCTTCCTGGGGTGCCAAGGGGAGTGGCCCCTTCTAGGGCACCGTAGTGCTAGTCAGGGGGTGGGCAGGGTGGCAGGGAACATCAAAGCAGAGAAGGGGCAGGGTGGGGGGTTAAAATTATACATGGAGTGAGTGGTCAGGAAAGCCGTCCCCGCCCCCACCGCAGTGACATTTGAAGAAGATGTGAAAGAAGGGGAGGCAGGAGTCCCCAGTATCTGGGGAAGGACGTTCCAGGTAGACAGGAACGGCCTGTGCAAAGGCCCCGGGGCAGGAGCCTGTCTGATGTGTTTGAGGAACAACAAGGAGGCCAGGTAGCTGCAAGGGAAACCAGCGAGGGGAGAGTCATGGGAGAGGAGGTCAGTGTGGTTTGACGTTCGGACACGACCTGATGTCTGACTCGATCTCCAGGATGTCAGGCTGGTGTTTCCCCAGAGTATCCCCAGCGCGGAGCACCCTGTCTGGCACGGGCAGAGCCACGACGAGTACAAGTCACACGAGGGGACCAATGAGTGTAGGCCTGCACACGGGGGTGTCCCTGTGCAAAGAGCTGTAACCGAAACGTAACGCCAACAGAATTAAAAGCAGGAACTCCCGTTCATCGGAGGCCCCTTTTACCGGGCGGGAAGCGAGCGGCCACAGGGAAGTGATCTGCACACGCGTGATCCGCAAGGGCCGGCTGCACACCCACAAACCCCGTAAGACGCTCTGATGGGAAGACACGCGCACAACTTACGTTAGAGGAAACCCCAGCGAGCAGCGATCCGCGGAGGTGTGATCAGCGCCACCCCAAGAAACCGTGCCCCCCACCTGACGACGCCAAGCGCCAAGACGCCGTGGAGACGCAGGGCCTCCCGCGTAGGGCGGGCAGTGACCAGAGAGCGCCGCGCTCCGGGAGGCCTTGACTCCTCCCCGACCACGTGCGCGCGCCCTGTGTCTCCGGCGGTTCGGCTCCGGGGCGTGCCCCGCCCCCCCACCGCCACGCACACGCGGTCCCCAGCACACCTGGACCGGACTGTCCGCAGCAGCTCACGCCACAGTGCTCTCGGCCAATGAACAGACCGCAGCGGCTTCACGCACAAATGCCGCGACCCGAGACAGCCAGCCGCGGCCACCCCCCCCCACCCCCCCGCAAACGCGACCCTGGGGCGAAAGCCTCCATGTGCGTGAGGGTCTCCACCCGGCAGAACAAAACGATGTAAGCCGGGGATGCTCTCAGGTGGCCAAATCACGAAGGAAACAAAGAGCCGCTTATCACAAAAGCCAGGGGCCTGGGGACCTCGGGGGAAGGGAGCCGTGATGGGGGAGGGGTCTCGGGGCGTCCCCGGAGGGCTGGCAGCCTTCCTGTTCTTGACCTGGGTGGTGGTCGTCCTAAACTTAATCTCCAAACCGCAGAGATCTGTATCACTTTTTCTACAGCTCATCACGGTTCACAACTTCGAGATAGTCCAACGGGGGCGGGGGCGGGGGGGTTGGTGGACGCGTAACGGGAAGAACTCTGGCTTCCTGAGAACCTTCTCCATCCCAGGTGCCCTGTGGCGGCTGACCCACTTTCCTCCACGACAGAGGGGACGGGAGCCCACGCAGAGGAGAGGGCTTGCCCAGAGGCCTGCGGCAGACAAAGTGGCCGCGGCAGGAGTGAAGGCAGAGGGCACCCTGTGCGGAGAGAAGCAAAGGAGCGGATTAATTTGAGGATTAGCAGCTGTGCTCTGCGCACGGCCGGCCAGGCTGGCCTCGCTAATATCCACAAATAGTTGAGTGTCCCCAGAAGAGTCGCTCAAGCAGTCAGAGGCAGGGAAGCTAAGTGAGCGAGGGCAGGGCACACGCGAGGCCGGATTAGAGGTGGCCAGACCTGGGGGAGCACTGCGGTGGGCCAGGCCCTGCAGGCGCTGGGGCTGGAAAAGTCGAGGGGTCAGAGCCAGGCTCTGCCGGAAGGGGCTCCCGTCCGGGACACGCTGGAGGACGCTCCATCGGCCCGCATTCCCCTCCCCTCGCCTGTTTGCCCGGACACATCCTCGCTTCCTCGGGCCTCTATGGCCTTTGCGCCTCTTGGAAGGCCTGACTGACTGGTCTATCCTCCTTGCAAATTCCTATTCATTCTTTGAGCCTTGGCTCAAGCGTCCCCGCTTCCAGGAAGCCCTCCCTGATATCCCAAGTCAGTGACCCTGGCCTGGCATCCCTGGGAGGATCTGCTGATGGGGCTGCGTCCTTGCCTGCTCCGGACGGTGGCCCTGGGTCTTACTCGGTCTCAGCCCCCAGTGCAGGACTTGGTACACAGAAGGGGAATGACTCTCCCCCCCACCCCCCACCCAGGGATGAGGGGCAAAAGCGTCACAAAAGCCCCAGAGGGAAGGTGACAGGGAGAAGAAAGAGTCTGTCATGTGGACAAGAAGGCCAGTGAAAGTTCATCCTAGGCAGAGAGAACAGCACAGGCAAGGGCAGGAGCGTGTGACAGCTTGTTTGGGCCTGGGAGGGGAGACTTCAGCATGATGGGTGGTGAGCAGGGGGAGTCAGCAGAGGGGCTGGGGCGAGGCGAGCCCGGCTGTGCACCTGCCCACAAAGGGAGCCACTGAGGGTCAAACGGACACCGTCCTTTTGCCCACTCGTCACATATTTCCTGGACCCCCCCCCCCCCACGAGCCAGGCTTGGTCCCAGGCACCAGGGTAGGGGTGCGCTGGACGGGGCAAAGCGCCTGCCGTCTAGGAGCTCAGTTCGGCTCCCCAGGCCCGGCCTGTAATGCACAGAGACTGCCCTCTAGGGGCGTGGGGGCGGGGGACGGGTGGCGCACAGGGCTGGGCCATGGGGCCATTCCTCTGGACACCCCAAGACCCCTTCAGTTGGACCACCAATGCATCTTCTCCCGCCTGGGGGACCCACCACAGTGTGGACTGGATGCCCCACGATGAACCTCCACCCGGCCTGTGGGTCACGTCTCAGGTGGGGCACATCATTCTCCCAGCGGCCCTGCGAGGTGGGGGTGATTAGGACATCCACTCCACAGATGGGAAAACTGAGGCCGGAGACTTGGATCTGGGAGGCTCCAGACCCCAGGACCTACCGCCCCTGCTGACCAACTTCCCCTACATCCCTCTGGGCCTCTTGGTCCTAGACGCCCGGCACTACCTGCGGGACAGAACCGCACGGGGGCAGCCCCTGCACCTGCCGGGAAGGAAGGATCTGGAAAGGCCCTTGAGGCAGCTCTGAGAGCACTAATGGGGCGAGGAGAAGAAAGGGCGTAGAACCCTCCCCGGTTCTGGGACGCTATGTTGGGTCCTGGCCCCACGGGACCCCCATTCCCACAAGCTCCAGAAGTCCGCCTCTGCTGAAAGCCCAGTGGCCCAGGCCCTGGCGACTGCCACTGGCCTTTGGGACTCAGCCCGGGGAAGCCCTCGGCCCATCTGGCAAAGCCATGCCTGATGCCCTTAGCGTGTCAGGCACCACTGCCCAGGTGGCTCACCTGTCCACTTGACTCACCTGCCCACCTGCGTCCCCAACCCGGCTGGGCCATGTCTCTGTCCCCACTGCCCAGCACACAGGGGTGGGTGCTCAAGAACCTTGGCTGGGCACGGAGGGGGAGAGAAAGAGAACCACGGAAGGGACCCTCCCTCCCCCCCCCCACCCCTGCCAGCTGGTCTTGCTACGAAGACCCCCACGAAGGCCACCTTCTTCTCAAGTCTCATCTGGGCAAAGCAGTAGCCCCTTCTTCCCAGGAACCCTTCCCGGGTGGGGACACTGGTGAGACGACGGCCAGTGTGGGGTATCTGTGTGGCCACAGCCAGGTTTGCTTGCCCCTTGGGCCTCTCCAGCCCCCCCTGGACCTTGGCCATGACAAGGCGGGCCTGGCTGCACGTCAGATTTTGGGTCTGAGCTCCTAGGACCTGAGAGATTGGACCCCTCCTCCCAGCCCAGGACAAGTGGGTCCTTGCCCCATGGGACTCACAGGAGAGGGCTGCGCTCCAGCTCAGTGGCCAGGAGATGGCCCCTCTCTGAACAGCCAGTCCCGAGCCACCGTGTGAGACCCCCGGGGCACTCACGGAAGAACTCACCCACAGCATTAAGGGTCAGCTGGGAAGGCCCCGGGTCTCCTTGCCCTAGACCCAGGGCCATGTTCTGGAACAAGCCTGGGCTGGCAGGTCCCTGACCCTCAGGGGATGGGTGTCCGGGCCGCAAGGAGCGTTCCCCGTGGATGCCCGATTCTGGCCTTGGGAGGAGGGGGAGGGGGAGGGGTCGCGAGACCCTCCGGACTTTGGAGACGGTGCCGAAACCCAGCAGCCAGAGCCGGGCCTGCTGCCCACACGACGCCTCGGCTCAGACTCCGGAAGGAAAACACAGGAGGGGTGTTCCCAAAGTGGGGGTCAGGGTGGCCAAGGGAAGTCGCGGAGGAAGTCGTGAATATTCAAATCGGCTGATTCCCCGGGCCTGCCGCGGAGGGAGCCCGGTGGAGTCCGCGGCGGCTCAAAGTTGAGCACCCCGAGGGAGGCCGCGGGGGACGCTCCCCAGACTCGCGGGATTCCCCCAAAATGGCTCCAAGACGCGCCTGCCTCGCCCGGCCGGCCGCGAGGACTCCATCCCCCACCCCCCACCCCCCCCCCCGAGGCGGAAAATTAAAAGCTCAGCACCAGGCAACCGCCGAGGCGGGGGGGGGTGGGGGGGGGTGGTTGGGGTGGTGGCGGACCAGCCGGCGCGGGGACCCGGCGCGACCCGCAGGAGCGGAAACCCGGAGGGTCCCGCGGGGTGG